CTCCCTCTCCTTGCTCTGGACACATGGCTGAGCTTTCTAGAACCCAGGACTCTATCCCCAGCCCACCTGGACTCCATCTGTAGACTGAGCCCTGTGTGCGTGTAGATGGGAGCCCTGTGATTATATTGCAGACCCGTTGGTTCTTTTCTGGTGGGAGAGGGGCACCTCCCTTGCCATAGCTGTCGGAGCTGACATGTCACGTGGCAGGTGGCCTTCGCAAGGGAGGCTGGGGTTGGACAGATGGCAGTTGCCTCTGGAGGGAGGGCAGCAGCCAGCTCAGGTGCCAGCTCTCCCACGTCCCATGTTCCTGCTCTCAGACCTGCGGATGGCCCAGACTCATGGGTGCCCCAGTATCCTAGTGACCCGCTGAGCAAGTTCTCCTCACAGGAGTTGCATTAGATTGGATGAAACATTTTCCCCCACATTTAGCATCTACTCTGTAGAGCATGAGAAGGGAGGCAAAGAAGAAAAAGACACACAGTGGGGCCTTTCACTTAGTAGATATTACATAGTTAAGCAGCAGAGGGAAGAGGCCAGAGAGCCGCATTGGGAGCACAGTGCTGACAGGGGGCTTCTCACCTCGGGCAGGCCCACACTGGAGGCCAGAGGCCATCCCGGGTTCTCACCTCCCCTCTCCTTATCCCCACCTGCCATGTCCTCGGAGGTCATCGCAAGCCTGAGGGAGAGTTGGCCCAGTCACCTTTTTGGTAACTCAACGGTTTTATTTTTTTAACCCAATTCTGAGGTTCTTCCTATTCCTGCAAATGCTCTTAAGGGCTTCCAGGCTCAAGGCTAATTTCCGAGCAAAACTGAAAATCTGAGTCGCTAGACAAGAAGTAGGAAAACCTCCTACTTCTGCCTCCCCTAGAAGCGCAAGCATAAATACCCAGGTATGGGGAGATCCAGGCCTAGCTCTGTGCAGACATGTTCCTGGGATTCCAGTGGGGGGGTGCCCGGCCTTGGGGCCAGGTGGGCAGCCTCATCTGCCCAGGCGGCCATGCCCGTTGGTGGACGGTGTCCCGTTTCCGGTCTGCAGGGTGCTGGCTGGCACGGTGAGGACCCGCGCGCTCACAGCCCAGCTCGGGCAGGAGCATAGCCTTTGCAGGGCAGCTCTGATGGGGCCTCAGGCTAGAGAAGGTCCTGCTGTCTTGGTGGAAGTTGTAGAGGTTGTCTCAGGAGTGCTGGGGGCCCCATCGCAGCAGCGTAAGGTCTCTAGAAGGGGGTTCCTCACCCATTAGCCTGGACCAGGATACTTGTGTGCTGGATCTCCTGTGGACCTTCCAGGAGACCCCAGCCCCTCTCCAGCCTGGATGAAACATGTAAACACAGAGAAGGTGCCTCCTTATAGAAGTTCAAAATCCTTCTCAGGCATATTCTCTCCCCCATGTGTGCCTAGGCTGTGTTGTATGGTTTTCCTTTGTGAGGACTGAGGGAGACTATTTGTAGCTTGTGTTATAAAAAATAAAAATGAGTAAACCTTGGTGGCTGGTGCCTCTTTTTTTGGGTGGCTTTCTCTGATAGACATGTTTCATTTCATGTCCTCCATTCTGATCTAGAAAATCTGAGTTGCTAGATAAGAAGGGAGCCCAGAAGTGGCCACAAGGTGGCGCTTTGCTTTGTTGGGCGGACATGGATCCCCTTGGCCCCTGACTATGTTTGCACCCTCTGTAATTCTCCCTCTTTACCTCCACCCATACAGCTGCACCCCTCCCCAGTCCCCCAAACCATTGCTGGAATGTAGGGAATGCTGCTGGCAGCCCTTTGGGGGCAGGGCTGCGGGCAGGCCACTTTACGGCTTCAGGCTGGTAGGGGTGGGCACATTGGCCTTAATCCCCATCATGGGATCCCAGGCTAAGAAGCAGCTGTAGACAGGTGGTGAACCCCCATGGGGTTCATGTCCTCTGTGCCTCAGTTTTTTTGGGTACATATTCGGGTCAAGGCAGCTGGTCTGGTTCACATTGCTGGAGGGCTTCAGGCAGGGGACTGGCAGCAGTCATGGGGTACTGATGTCACTGGCACCTATTCCTTCTGCCCCCTCTCTCCTCACATAGCTGTCCCAGGAAATTGCTTCCTCACCACCCTCTGGAACCTCCCCCTAGACTCTGCCACCTTGTCCACAAGTGAACAGAAGGTAATTTCCCTTGGAAAAGTCTCCCCTAACCTTTTCTTCAGCTAAGTTTTCCTGGGAAAGGACCTACGCCCTTGAGTGTGGTCCCACAGGCCCCTCCTCATCTGGTGCTGACACTGCAGTGCTGTGTGGGCCCCTGTCATATTTAATACCATGGCGCTGTGAGGCAGGAGTTACTGCCCCATGTCACGGGTGTGTGGATGCCGGCCACTCAGGAGGTCAGCAGCTTGCTGGGTGTGCCCATCTGGCAAAGGCAGAGCCAGGAGTTACCCTCCGATTGCTGACTTCAGGCCCAGAGCTCTGCCCGACCCCGCTGCCTTCCATGAGGGGCTAGAACAGCAGCCTTTTCCCTCCTGTCTGGCTTGGACCCTGAGTGGCTGCATTCAGCAGTGAATACACTTTTTCTGTGAGCAGTTTAGGGTCTTACGAAAAACCGCTAATTTGCAGAGGCCTATTTTAGGCTTCAGGGATTTAGGGGAGAGGTATAAGGAGGCATTTGCCCATGAAGGACCTCACTGGAGGCCTGGGGCGACCTAGCCTCCAGCAGAGAGCCCCAGCCTGGTGTGGGAAGGGGCAGGGCTGAGCTCACACTCGACTCCAGGGCCAGCCTGCAGCCCCCCTTGGCCTTCCTTCAATCTCTCCAAGGACAGGATGACCATGACCAGTAGCAGTCAAGGAAAAGGAAAAGATTCGTCTTCTTTCTTCCTTCAGCAAGAGGCCCCTGAGTCATGTTTAGCCTCTGTGCAGAGGGGAAGTGGGGACATTTTCAGTGGGGATGTGGAAAGATGACTGCTACTGGGGCCAGTACAGGGGCTCTACAATGCCATCAGCAGAGGGTTCCCCAGGCCAGGACACCCCCCCTGCCTCCCTAGGGCATTTTGGGGGATGGGAATCTGGCAGTGCCAACCCCCTTATAGAAAACTAGAAAGAGCCAGACTGGTCATCTGGCCGTTTACTCCAAAGGTCCTGAAGTGTCCAAAGGCCACAGGTGTGCCCACCAAGGAGACTGAAGACCTTCCTGGTGCCCTGATCTTCTGGTCTGTGGCATTTAGCTTTTTTTCCCATTGTACATGGGCGAAACTTGACCTTTTTTCATGCAGTGCCACCAAATCAAGCCCTTATGCCTATGGCCTGGATCACAACTCCCCCTTTGTATGACTTCCATGAAGTGCTATGGAGAAGGGTCATGGCTTGGTTGTATGCCTGCCTACTAAATGTTTGTCAGGTGTGTGGCATAGGGATGTCTTGTCACTTCTTGTCATGTGTGGGCGAGCACTCTGGTCAATTCCTTCTGCTCTTATACGCCACCACCTACCAACTCCTCATCCACTCAGCCTCAGCCCTTATCCTGTTTGCACCTCCCCTTCTTCCTTTAACAAGGGCCACCCTGTGAGGGTTGCTTTGCCTAGGGTCTTCCTAGCCAAAGCTTTGAGTGTAGCTAATGGCCCACAGTCCTGCATGTGGCACACACAATCCTAACCATTCACACACTTGACAGTGGAGGAGTGCTGAATATTGGATGTGGTCTCCACTGGATGACAGGCGTGTTGCTAAACTACTCCTAAGAATCAGGAGAGACCAGAACAAGCTGCCGTAACATACACCCCTCACCCCGTCCTCAGTGGCTCAAATCACAAAGGTGTTCCCACTCATGCAACATATCTGTCATGTGTCAGCAGGGGGCGCTCCCCTTTGTTGGCCTCACTAGGACCCAGGCCCAGGCAGGCTCCATCGTCCACCATGCGGATGCAAAAAGAAAAAAAAAGAAACATGGTAAATTGCACCCTGGTTCTTCATGTTTCCATCTGGAAGCAAAATATGTCACTTTGCTCACATTTCA